TCTGGGAAAGTGTGCAGGTTTGCATTACCATAGGAAAATTCAAATGTCTGTAGGGATGAGAAACCGATTGAAAATATGTCATAACTCTGAAAAGAATGTTTTGTGTGATGAAAAATTCATATTGTTTGATGAAAACTGACATATATGTATATTATGTTTAGCTGTGAAGCATATATGTCAATATAAAAGTTTAGTATAAGCAAGCCAAAGGAGTTTGCAAGTGAAAAATAGCTATGTCTATTTTATTTATTATTTAAATGGGTATTTACAGCGAGTCGGGTGTGGTTGGAGCATCAGCTGTAAAAGAGAAGAAAGAGATGGCTCAGCTGGCCAGGGTGAGCAGCTTCAAGTGACTGACTGAACCTGCACATAGAGTACACCTGACCCATCGGCAACCCTGTGCTCTCATGCTTGCAGTGAGAGCCCATCATGGCACACATACACACAGGCCTAAATTAACAGCCCCACAGACATTATTCACTGACACTTAGTCCAGTCTACAATCCAAGGTCCAGTGGTTGTGCCAACGATCCATTTGTACCACAGCTGACAGTCTGAGCTCCGATTCCAATTTTCAGTCCAAGCGTGTGTATGTGTGTATGTCAAGATGAAAATCCAATCTCACTGCAATCATGAAAGCAGTTAGCACATATGTGTTTGCTGGTATCATTAGCTGACTTACTAACAGCTGCTCATCTTGGGCAGCTGGGTCACTCTGACCCTTCCATCCACAGATATTTACTTTATGTGCAAACCATGCACATAAGTACCAGCTGAAATTCTAATCTAAAAAGTATAATATGTATATATAAATATTTTTTAATTAATGGAAAACTTGAAAATATTGAAGGAAAGTCTGAGAATATGGAATAGATATAAACCATGGTCAGACTAGTATTTATTTCATTATCATATTGTGAGATTGTGGCTGTCATATTTCCCATTGCAACCCTTTCTCCTACTGTTTATACTATGGTTCAGTGTAATATGTTTTGGAGGAAACACAATTACTGTGGAGATAATGTTCCCTGAAAACGTTTTTTCTTGTCCACAGAGTGGAGTGGTTAAGCATATAACTCCGGAGACCGGAGTGTACATGCTGCATGCTGCATCCTGCATGTGGATAGGTTTAAACTACACAAATACTTTGGATTAAGGTATGGAAACATAATGGTTTTGGTTAAATATTGAAAACTATCAATTAAATTGACTATCTTTCCCCATCTTTAACCAAGTGCCTTAATATGATCATACATAACCTTTAAGACTTTTATCATGCTTTGGTTGCCACAAACTAATATTGTAAACAATGTAAAAAATCATCTGGGTCATGTACTACTGTAGCTACTGCCAATACATAGTTCTATAGTCAGTTAACATTTGTAAATTAGTACTATACGCTTAACTACTGTGTGATAAGCTAGCATTGCATATCTAAACCAAAAATTGTGCCAGTGTGGTGTCACCAGTCTGTTTCATTCAATATTCTCAGATTTGGATTCAATATTATATTTTTATTATTATGTTCTATAACGTTTTCCATGACATTTTTCCACAAATAATTTCCTGAACAACATGCCATAGAACTATATATAAATATGATATGATATGTATGATATTTAAATGTGTGTGTGTATATATATATACACACATTTTTTCAGAAAATGCAATCTAATAAATTAATTACGTTTAGCTGTCAAAAACACTTTCTAGCCAACTCCATTGTAGTAGTGTGGGAGAGATGTTACAAATGAAAAACATTCCAGTGCTGTGATTTGATAAATATATTTAAGCTCATATTTACATTATATTTATTAAATGTTTAAAAACAATGTCAGCATCATTTTAGTCTCTAAATGTTACCCCAGATTGTGCCTGAGCAAAAAAAGTTGCAAAAACGTATTATATACTGCAGGTGTAAGCAGTCTAAACTTATCAGCGTCTCTTATCACCAGTGATGGTGTATGAAAACACATGGCGGTTGCTCACAATCAGTAATTCACCCTTTTAAATGTGCTTTTGTTTAGTTTCACAATTCCTTCTGCTTTCCATACAAGCAACGTGTTTCCTTGGCAGCATCCCGATGTTTAAAGCGTCTCTGGTTGTGCATGACTGGTGATGGTGTGATCTGCTAAATAATAAACTGTACCCTTCGCAGCTATGTGCACAAATTTTCTTAAAAGATTTGTAGGAAGAGGGGCTCTTTAACCAATGTTTGAAAACTAGTGCAGATCTCAGATGTGGATAATTAGATAATCTTGTTCATAGTGTTGTTAAAAAAACAAAAATTAAGATGCACCTACAGCATTCACACACCTCATCATGCTCCTATCATCAAGGAAGCAGCAGAAAGGAAGAAAGCAGGCTGAATGACAGATGAGATAGCTATGTCTAATCCGCTTCTAAAAGAAAGCTTTATTGATATGACTGGGAGCGGGGAGGACAAGACGAAAGAAAAACTGGAGCATTGTGTATTGTATAGCCATGACGGGGCGTCTGTGGTCTTCTCTGTGAAGTGGCTTTGACAGCCTTGGGGATTAAGGAGCAGTCCATCGTACATGGTCCAAACAGCAGGGATTAGACTAAATACGCTCACTCTTGTCTCTGGCTCCTTCACTTAGTAAATCAATAAAACATGATTTTACTACAGTAAAGGAGCATCTGTGTCTGAGTGTATGTGTGTATTGGGGGGGAGAAGGTGAGGTCGTAAGAAAATAACCTGCATAAAGCGGGAGAATGGCTCCAGAGGGAAGGAGGAGCCAGCTGCCAAGTGTTGCTGCTCACTGCTGCAGTTTGCTGAAAGCTCCTTTTTATGTTGTTCAAGATGCTGCAGCTCCACTTACTGCCATGCACAGACATGATATATAACATCCATGGGAACGTTATAGTTAAAGGCCAATAATTCAACTTGGACAAATGTGGCCAGCCCCCTCACATATTCAAGTTAGCAATTAGTGTTTTAGAATTTTAAAACAATATGTTACTCCACAAAAAACACCTTTAAACATGTTCATGTTTACTGCATTTCCACCAGCGGCCAAAGAGAACCAAATGGCTTTTAGTATTCAGGCTTCTTACTCAAATTATATAAAACCAAATCTAAAATCAGACATATCAAATCTTATGTACTCAAATTATCTTATGTAAGAAATCATTTTCAGCTTAAAGTTTTTGCTCCTGATGTGAGTCTTATTCAGTCACTACAGTAGCTACAGATATTCCGGCCGTTATTTTTAAGTCAATAAAAAGAGCAATGAGGATGAGGCAGACACAAACAAAATGATTACCAACAGCATATTTTGCATCCCTGTATATTTGCAGGCAGCCAAAACCTTTCTATTTATAAGACTGAGCTGTCAAAAGTTATTATACGAGTGAATGGAAGGTCTGAAAATAAGTTTCAGTGCGGAGGCGACTCTGAGCTCCTGGAGCAGCTCATGTTTGAAACCGACTGTTGGTAAAGTCAAATAAAGTTGTACTGTATGTTGAGATGTTGTATGAGAAGTGAACATTTTACACCCACCTAATAATATGCCACTGAGATCTGAATGTAGTCATCAGCATCTGGCGCATCACAACCTAGCTGCTGGTCTGAATGTAACTGTGCAGTATCACACAGCAATCTACTGTATTAAAGAAAGTCCTAATTAGCTGCTTCTTATTTTACAGCCATAGCCGTTCAAAGGAAGGCACAGTTATCTTTAATGTATGTGCTGTAGCATTGTAGTCACTCTATAATCTTTCCTCATAGTGATCCACTAATAGCAGCATGTCTTAACAAATCAGTGGACAAACAGATTGATATTCTATATGTTTCATAGACACTACACTTAAATAACCCCTCTACAGCTTTCATTATAAAGTTGCATTTGCAATGTCAAATGTCCTGTTTTCTTAAGTGAGTGGTTTAGAATTTGCGGCACGAAAGCCAAAGTGGATCTTTCCCAAACCCTAAATCAGCCTCTAATCCTTAAAATGACACCTGTCACTAGAAAGTTAGATCTATTAAAACTACTTTCTGATCCGAGAAGGAACGCACAAAAGCCTTCAATCAGAACTTAATTAACACAGCAACCTTTTTTCCCAGTGTTGGCAATCACTTGCCTATCTGCCAGATTAGTTTAAGGACATAAATACAGATAGGAAATGACCAAAACAAACTCACAAACTCTGAGGGTATGGCAGCAGAAAAAAACTACGCAAATAAAAAGAGAGAGAGGGGGACGTGAGAAGAAGGTCTATTAACTTTGCACCCCCCCCCACAGTGGTCTCAACATGGCCCATATCCCATGGCCTTTATGTCAAGTCAAATGTACCATTCCAGTAGAGGGAACATAACTTAGAGCACCAATAACACTGTATGTTTCAGTGCCTGTGTGTTTTGCAAAATATTAACGATCAGCTTGAATGGTGGTAATGTAAAAGACTGTAAAAAAGTTTTAAAGAGACTGAACCACTACTCAAGGCAATAGTCGGGTACCAGAAAATTGAGAAAATGAGAATTTGTAGCAGCTGTAAAATGTATTCAAATCTTAGTGTGTGCTTTTTTTTTTTTACATAAACTGTAAAGGTTATATTAAAAAAGCATACATTTTTCAATAACAAAACAATCACTTCTGCTTTGCCGACTAAATGTGAAAATAGTGGCCAGTAGGAGACTAAAATCAATAAAGAACTGACGAATATACTGCAAATACATAAATGAAAGCTGCAATAATTAATATTTTTATATTAACAATAAACCTTTTTTTGGTTAAATGGAAGACATTACTAGGTGTAATGTGAAAGGGGTCACCAGTATTGATGAGCCCACAGAGTATTATCATCTTATTCTGCAGTTCCGTTCATCTCTGGGAAGATCCTTCAGCTTATTGTTTTGGTTTTACGGCTCAAAACTTTAATGTTTTGATTTACTCTCACTGCTCTTATCAAAGTGATTTGCAGCAGCAGCAATGGGCCAGGCAAATGTTGGTGTATGATGTAAAAATTCATCTGCTGACCTTTGCTGATCGTAGCTGGACTCCTTCCTGCGGCAGTGGAGAGTCACCACTCGGTGGCCTTCACTCCTCACATCCTGGCTAACTATCCATTGAGTGGGGTTGCTGGGACGAGCCCCAAGAAACGTCACTCCTTCCTTCAACTTCACCCTGTGGAGAAAGAAAAGACATGTTTAGGTATAAGGCTGAAGGATTCTCCTCTGTTACCAAGAAGATCCTCATTCCAGCGAATCATTGGATATATCCGGCTGATCCATGCATGGCAGCTGAGCACAGACAGACAATGATTTCTTTTCATTCTGTCTAGCAATACATTATCTGGATGGTTCACTGCACCATCACGTCTTATCTTCTGACCCAGCTGTTATCTTGGTTTTGATTACACTGTTTTTCTTTCCCAACAGGACACTGTTTTAAACACGTGTGTTATCTTATGTGTTCCACTAGTCAATCAAAACACAACAAACACCTGCTGTTTCAGTGTTCAGTTTATACATCCTAAGCAGTCGGATAGGTGATTGTGTGTGTATGCCTAAAGCTCATTGGTTCTGAATCCAAATAGAGAGTATCAGAATTAACCAATCAAAAAGATAACTCTCTCTGACACTTTGGGATCTGGCATCCATGGTGAATGTGCTGCCAGAGTGACATGTGACCATCCCATTATGCCACTACTCTTCCTTCTTTACCTCCCTCAGTAATAGATTGACTCTCTCAGTCTGAAAAGGATATTATGAAAAGGTTTCTTTGACTGCGGCAAAATGACAGCATAAACGTCCTTGGCTCTGTGTACTACAAAGGAGAAAATATGTAAATGAAAACCTCCCTTAAAGGTAAACCATATTACACAGTACAGTATAGTCACCGTACAGAGATGGCTCTGAGGGGAGAAAGTGTTGACATAAAACAGATTTAGACTAACACAGCATGGAACATGTGTGGTTTTGTCTGAGGGTGACAGTTAAGTTCCAGGATTGAAGAGAAGATTCAATTAGAAAGAAAGACCCAACCACTTTCCAATCCATACCAGGTTGGCAGATGAGGCCAAAGATAGGACTTTGCTTTCATCTTGAATTTGTTGCTGCACTTTAACATTCACTGTGCGATTGCCTGTCTGTATGCCAATGAATACATCTGCCCCCTCCAGTCAGGCCTCTTTCTTTGATGTCTTATCAGGTTGTGAAGGGGACTATGTGTGAAGTGAAAATGTGTAATATGACAGCTGGTATGCTTCCCCTCTTTATAGGAATAACGATAAACACTACACCTAAGGGACACTCTGAATGTGTGTGTGGATATGTAGGTGTTTTTGTGTGTGTGTTCTCCTAATGTATATGTGTGTAACCATGTTTATGTGTTGCAGTCTTTCCACAATGTTGTATGTATTTTTGCCAGCTGCTTCCCTTTTTGTTGTGTGTGTGTGTGTGTGAATGGAGATCTAACAGACATTGATAGATTTTGTCTGCACTGACTGTCTTTCTCTATGACTACTACTACTTGCAAAAACTGAGCAATTGTCACACCCAATGGTTATTTTTGCCCCACGTCTATCAGGTTGGGCCATTATTGAGCTGACATTGTGTAATCTGAATTCAGCATTAGACAACAGAGCAAGCAAAAGAAGGTGAAATCATTGCTACAGTGTGTAAATAAACTGGTGGTTTGACTCATTTAAAAAGTAGACTACTGAAATAGTTGAAAAATAACCCTGGTGATGTCATTGGGGTAAACTGAGACTACAAATATTTTATAGGCAGGCTGGACACACAAACTTAGCATGGAGGCGTTAAAAGGCGTCTGGGTAGGTGGAGTCTAATGAAAAGATGTTGTTGCAATATGGGAAATGTAGGGTCCACAGTTTTGTTGTTTAGTTTTCCCGCATTACTCCCACTGGTTGTTTTAACGATAAAAAAAGATTTCAATTAAATATATATATATATATATATATATATATTAAAGAAATATTCAACTAACTTGTCACCATAAATTACTGTATACATTTGCAACCACAAGTACCCAGTGTTCACCCACACCTAGTTGGCTAGAAGGCTTTATTTATATTCCCATTCATCCTCCTGCCTGATAGCAACAAGAGCCTGCTTACTAAACTTAAACATAGTGGAAAAGCTGGGAATGACCTCAGCCTGTCAACGTTAGTAGAGACAGGTGGAGGAGAGGTAGCTACACCAAAAAGTAAATTCTTACAAATCTTGACCTACTGCAAATCCTGAAATACACAAAACATCACAAAATAAAAGCTTACATCATCAATCTAAGGGTGGATTTTTCCCCAGCTAAATGGAAGACCCACTGTCTAAGCCAGAGTGAAAGGAAGTGCTGAGGAGGAACTTACTGGCAGTGAGCGTACAACTGTAACACAAAGAGCTCATGCACAGTCCTCTTCGGGTCCCAACGGGTGCAGCAGGGTCTTGTATCTAGTTTCTTTACACTTCAGTGATCAGGATTTCTATCCATGGTTCCCAGCGAGGTTTTAAACACAGTCGAAACACAGAGGGGAACCAGTCATTACTCCACAGACCATATCCAAACTCACAGAGGAAGCGTCCTTTATTGACGTAATAGTCAATTTGGCCTTGTAACCAGTCAGTGTAGTTGCCTCCTGCAGGTTAAATAGCAGTCATCAAAAACAGTGACTATTAGTGCCATGTTGTAACCTCGGCCAGGGAATATGCCTTTAAACACAATTCCTATGGCCAACTAAGCAATCATACTTATTAAAACTAATGTTTACCGGAGTACATTTAAACTCCAAGAATGATTTAACAAGACTAAAAGTCTACAGCACATGCTAACAGCTCTGTGGCACAGTGGTGCTTTGAGCTATAATGATAACGCGTGCATGCTCAATCATAGTTAATATGTTAGCATGCTAACATCTGCAAGTACAACTGAGACTGATGGAAAGGTCATTAGTTTGGCAGGTATTTCATCAAAAACCAAATTAATGGACAAATTGACTTGATGATGGAGCTAAATGAAAAGACAGACAATCACCAAAGTTGTTACGATTTATCCAGAGAGGGACACCTATGCACCAAATTCCATGCCAATCCAATCCAACAGTCGTTGAGACATCTCACACAAAACCTCATGGCAGCGCTAGTCAGGCGATCACCGAAGTCATTACGATTTATTGTCTGGGGACCATGAATGTCTGTATAAAATGTGGGACCACTCCATTGAGTAGATGTTGAGATAGTACAAACCATGACCTGCAGATGGCACTAGAGGAAAATTAAGGGTATCACCAAAGTCCGCAGCATTCATCCCCTGCAAACCATGTATTTCTATATAAAAATTTAATGGGCTTCTATCTAATCACTGTTGAGCACCTATTCTCACTCCCAAGTCAACACATATGGACACATGGTCAAGACTTGTTGGCGTTAGTTTGTAATGCACTGGGGAGCCCCTTAACGTCAAAGTTCAACGCACTGGGGAAAGCCCTGTAGCGTCACTTTTGAACGGTAAAGGTAGGTGCATGATATTCAGCAGAAAAGTCAGAGTAAGGAGGTGGTTGGGGTGGACAGTAGGCCAGAAACCAGACTTTCAACCAGGAAACCTATGTTCGTTTCCTGTGTGAAACAAAAAGTGAATATTGAATGTTTTTATTTAAGTTACGTAGGTCACATAAGTTGCGTAAGTTAACTCAGTTAAGTAACCAAATTATTTTTAACCCAAAAACCCCTTTTCCTAAACCTAATCAAGTAGTTTTGTTGTCTACACCTGACCAAGTACTCACTAACCAAATTGACCCTTCGCTAAGCCACGCCACCCTTAGTTACTGTTGCTAAGTCCGACAAACTACTGGACCTGTCGGACTTTTAGCATGGCTCTGCCAATGTCTATTACTGCACTCCCTGGAGAAATATTGTCTACTTTTTGGGAAAAAGTTATCTCAGAAAGAAGCGGTTGGCATTGTGCATTTGAAGGTTATATTCATGCTGTCAAACTGACTCAAATAATGATAGAAGCTAAAACCTACTGATCACAGAGTAAAAGCAAACAACCGCATCATCTGACGATTGAGACAAAGGACAACAAAATTAAGGATTAACAATGTTCCTGTGCAGCTGGGTAGGTCTACGTTAACTATTACAATAATGAAAAAGCAAAAGCAGTAGGGCTATATATAGTTACATTCAGTAGTAAGTTAGCTAGCATTAGCTAACAAACATTACATTAGGAACAATACACAGCCTAAATTTTTCTGGATTTATTTTAGGTTGTGGAAAGGGAAAAAATCGTACTTCTGCTTTTAACCTATATAGGTATAGTGGCTGTAACTACGTATTACAAGTGACCCAGGAACAGCATTTGACTATATCTTGGAAAGATACAGCAATAAAAAAAGCTAAAAACAACTTGTTTTGCATATGAGTCAATGGAGCGCAGCCATGAAAATGTCATATCTTATACCGCGCTGTGATTGGCCAGCTGCATATTTGGGGCGTGGCTTAGTGAAGGGTGAATTGCAATGTTTCACAATGTTAACAAGTACTTTAATTGAAAGTCTAACCGGACACTGAACTTTGTTGCTAAATTGACTGGATGTAGCATATTTATTGTTGCTAACTTGACCGTGGAGCCCTAAACGTCAAAAAAATTCTCTAATGGGGTACCCAGGGCATTAAAAAGCGATGCCAAGGGGTTTTGACCAAGTGTCCACTTGTGACAGGTTGGGAGTGAGAATATGTGATATTTCAGCCTGGACCAAAGTGGTGGACAGACCAATTAGGCGGTGGGCCAACTGCAGTTTTCAAGTATTTAGACTATCCCCATCGAGGGAGGACTCAGTTTTTTGCTTATAACTTCTACAGTTATCAACAAATTAAACTAAATTTGTTGCCACTCGTACTTCTTGCACATTTTTGTTTATCGGTAACTTTACCCAAGTTACTTTTTCCGGCAATAGCAGCAGGCGCTATGTTTGGGGTCCGATGTCTACATACATATCATCCAATAGCGTGCATGGAAACGTGCCAGACAGGTGGAAAAAATGGAAATAAATAACGCGCCGAAGCAGGCTAACTGCATGTTAAATATGTTACTGTAATAAGTTATTATTAAATCAACGAGTCAACTCGCACTAACACGTGTAGTTTATATTATTGAAGATTTTACTGTCA